TGGTAGTGAAACGGTTTGGAAACATATAGTAAATAGAGGATTTACTCCACATTACTATATCTGGTATAACCACAGAGAAGGTGATAATAGGAATGAAGCTAGTAGTAGTAATCAGGTTAAAATAGTTCATAACAGAGAGGAACCATATTTGCTTTCTGAAAGTTACCTTCAAGAGGATCATCATATGGTAGATCATGATAGGATGCATGATATGGTCACAAATGCATTTCGTGAAACAACATCTATTACAGAGGAGGTAGAAAATGTAGAGGGGCCTAACTTGGATGCAAAAAGATTTTACGAAATGCTAGCAGCAGCTAATGAGCCAATTTATGAAGGTTGTAGAGAAGGTCTTTCTAAATTATCATTGGCTGTTAGGATGATGAATATCAAAACTGATCATAACTTACCTGAAGTTTGTATGGATGCATGGGCTGAGTTGTTTAAAGAGTATTTGACTGAAGATAATTTGTCTGTTGAATCTTATTATGAGATTCAGAAACTTGTTCATAATCTTGGCTTGCCTTCAGAGATGATAGATGTCTGTATAGACAACTGTATGATCTTCTGGGGAGATGATGTCGAATTGTTAGAGTGTAAATTTTGCAAGAAGCCGCGATATAAACCGCAAGGATGTGGACGGAATAGGGTTCCGTACCAGCGGATGTGGTACTTATCCATTAAGGATAGACTGAAGAGATTATATCAATCTGAGAAGACGGCATCATCAATGAGATGGCATGCGGAACATACCCAGAAATAAGGCGAGATCAATCATCCCTCTGATGCAAAAGCGTGGAAACACTTGAATTCGGTGTACCCTGATTTTGCAAGTAACCCCCGGAACGTTTATCTTGGACTCTGTACAGATGGCTTTAGTCCATTTGGAATGTCTGGAAGACAATACTCGCTTTGGCCAGTCTTCTTCACACCGTACAACCTTCCTCAAGAGATGTGTAATGCAAAGGAATTGCTTTTCATGAGTATATTGATACCTGGACCAAAGCATCCAAAGAGGTCACTGGATGTTTTTTTTACAGCCTTTGATTAAAGAGTTGAATGAATTATGGTCAACAGGCGTGCAAACATATGATTGTTCAACAAAAACAAACTTCACAATGCGAGCAGTTCTTTTGTGGACCATTAGTGACTTTCCTGCATACGGGATGTTGTCAGGTTGGACGAGGCATGGTAGACTATCTTGTCCTTATTGTATGGGAAGCACAGACACATTTCAGCTGAAGAATGGTAGGAAAACTTCCTGGTTTGATTGTCATGGAAGATTTCTTCCCATTAACCATCCGTACCGAAGGAATAATACATTGTTTCGGTCAAAGAGGGTTGTAAGGGACACCGCTCCACCCTATTTAATTGGAGAAGAAATCGAGAAAGATATTGATTACTATGGAGCACTAGACAAAGTTAGCAGAGGGGGTAATTGGCACACTCCTGCAAATATGCCTGATGGTTATGGGACACAACATAATTGGCACGAAAAGAGTATATTTTGGGAACTTCCATATTGGAAAGATCTACTCCTGCGACACAATCTTGATGTGATGCATATAGAGAAGAATTTCTTTGACAACATCATCAATACTTTGTTGAAGGTCCCTGGGAAGACAAAAGATAACAAGAACTCAAGGTTGGATTTGCCTGGATTATGTTCTAGGGTTGAGCTGTATATTCAAAACGATGGGAAAATTCTGGTTCCCATTTTCCGATTGTCCGCACCAGCAAAAGCGGCGTTGTTCAAGTGGGTGGCATCTGATGTGAAGTTTTCAGATGGATATGTTTCAAATCTATCAAAATGTGTGGATCAGCAAGGACAAAAGTTTGCAGGGATGAAGAGTCATGATTGTCATGTGTTTATGCAACGACTTTTACCATTTGCATTTGCAGAGTTACTTCCAAAAGATGTTCACGAAGCGCTTGCAGGTAACAAATACTATATATTAAAGTTATTAATTATTTCTTTTTGGCCCTGTACATTAGAAAGTTTCTTATGTTGGCTTGTACATAAATAATTATTCGTAGGCATTGGAGCATTTTCAGAGATCTTAGCGCACGCACCTTAACTGTAGATGTAATCAAACAATATTTCCTCCGACTTGATGTGCAATTTGAAAAAAATATTTCCGCCGACTTTTTTTGACGTCATGAAACATCTTGTTATCCACCTTGCGTATGAGGCACTGCTTCGTGGACCTGTTCATAATGGATGGATGTATCCTTACGAGCGAGCCATGAAACATCTAAAAGGGAAAGCAAAAAATCATGCAAGAGTGGAAGGTTCAATAGTTGCTGGAAGTTTGAAAGCGGAAACATCTCATTTCACTTCATACTACTTTGGATCACAAGCGCGGACTCGGAAAAGAACAACGAGCAGGTATGATGATGGTGGTGTTGTGCCGACATATATTGTTGAAGACGTTCCAGACATATTCTGTCAGGTTGGACGTCTAGGTGGAAGGTTGAGGGAAGTTTGGTGGTCGAGTTCTGAAGACGCCCATAGTGCGCACACATATATCCTCCTTAACTGCGAGGAGCTTGAGTATTTTGAAAAGTAAGTAGTATTCTTTATATGCCGTGATGTTTTAATTACCACACATATACTACAATATCTAATATCCTGAATTTATTTTAAAACAGTTATTTCGTTGCCCAAGTCGAAGATGCTATACCAGGGATATCAACCAATGATATCAACAAAAGGAAAGATCAACACTTTGTGAAGTGGTTAAAAACGCAGGTTTCAAATGGATATACATATATTTAATTTCAGATGAATATGTTTCAAATCTATCGATATATACTGCAGGTCGATTATGATGATCCATTTTATCCTCAGTGGTTACACGAATTGATAGAAGGTCCGGTCGCGAAGGTCACCACAACATATATGTATTTCACACGTGGATACACTTTTCACACTTACGAATATGGAAACCGGAGAGCAACAATGAACTATGGAGTATGTGTGAAAGGCGGAACAGATTTTTACGGAATCATACAAGAGATCATCGAAGTGGAGTTTCCCGGCATGAAGCTCAAATGCGTACTCTTCAAATGTGAATGGTTTGACCCCACTGTCAATAGAGGTGTTCGGTATAGTAAGTTTGGTGTTGTTGACGTAAATGCCACACAGAGGTACAACAAATTTGAGCCATACATATTGGCTTCTCAGGCAGACCAAGTATGTTTTATACCTTACCCAAGGATCAGACAATCTGGAAGTTCCTGGTTAGCCGCTATAAAAGTTACACCTCGGGGCCGAGTATTGAACGATGAACAACCGCCTTTACAAGAAGATGTCGTAAATGAAGTAGAAGTACCTGAGCAACGTNGATCAGACAATCTGGAAGTTCCTGGTTAGCCGCTATAAAAGTTACACCTCGGGGCCGAGTATTGAACGATGAACAACCGCCTTTACAAGAAGATGTCGTAAATGAAGTAGAAGTACCTGAGCAACGTATTGATGATATCTTACTTGTTGATCCGCATAATCCGATATATGAAGAACTTCCAGACGATGCGATTTTGGACAAAGCCAACCAAGATGAATTTGAAGAAAATGATGAGGTGGAAAATGTTTCTGAGGACGAGTGATGATTAAGTGTGTTTGATTATGTACTCTACCGTTAGTTGTATTTGATTCCGTTATGAAATACATTATGTTTGCATTATATTATGATCCGCATAATATTCCGATATTTTAATTATGTTTGCATTATGAAATTTTTTTGGAGTTTCGAGATTTGATACGTGTTTGCGGTTTGTGGTAATTGGGGTTTAGGGGTTGGAGGTTTGTGGTTTGTGGTTTGGGGTTTAGGGTTTACGTTTGTGGTTTGGGGTTTAGGGTTTACGTTTGTGGTTTGTGGTTTAGGGTTTAGGGTTTAGGGTTTAGACGACTACATTACGACTAATAAATAATTGAAGTCTAAATAGTCGTAATGTATCGACCCTAATTGGTCGTAATATACAGATGGACACACATTAGTCGTAGTGTCGTCGTAATGCGTAGTCGTAATGTAGTCGTAATTGAACTTGGTCGTCCATTAGTCGTAATATTACGACTATTTTATGACTATTGGTCGTACATTAGTTGTAATATTACGACTAATGTACGACCAAGCTCAAAACTGTATATATATAGGGACCTCGCGGAAGCATTTCAGTTGCTCATTCCCTTCTCTCTAACAACTACTCAACATCTCTCTAGGTAATTTTTGTTTTGTTTTAGGTGGTTAGTTAGGTAATTAGTTTAGGTTTCTAATTATTTTAGGTTTGGAATTAGCTTAGGATTGGAGTTAGATTTATTTGAATTGTTTAATTTAACCCGTTTATGTTTTTTATAATTTTCAGATATATACATTTCGCTATGTCTGGTAGAAAGAGAATCTGGAACCTCGCGGCTGGAAACTCCTACGGGAGTACTTTTCTCGGTCAGTCATCTACCTCGGCTGGCACATCATCCGGCGGCACCTCATCCGGCCCTGACCCGGTTCCGGAGACCCAACCGGCACATACTACTCAGGAGCAGTATGTCCCTTCAAATTATCCGCACATTGAGGATGATACGGATTTCTTCACTTATGTGCCGGAATCTGAGTATGTGCCTCCGCCTTCCCAGAACCCGCCACAAAATCCTTATCCGGCTCCTGATCAGAACCCGCAACATGCCCAAAACCCGCAACAAAACCCTTATCCGGCTCCCCAGAACCCGCAACATGCCCAGAACCCACAACAAAATCCTGATCCGGCTCCCGGTCTTCATCCAGATTTGATGGTGCCGCCGAATGCACCATATGCGAGATATACGGTGGAAGATATTCTCGGGATGCCGGGCCGAGAAGGTTTACGAATCGTCGATCCGGATCGACGCCCCGGCACGTTTTGGTAATTGTTCTAAATTATTTAATTAAAGTTTAAATTTTAAAAATTTATTTAATATTAATATATATTAATATAAATATATAAATTCTTTCAAATTTTGTAAGTTTTTGATGGACAATGTTTTAGGACAGAGCATTGGGGATATCATTCGGGCAAATTTTCGGCATGCCCACCCCAACTGGACTCTTACACCGGACCACGTTCGCATTACTTGGTTCAAGTGTTTCGCGGTTAGTTTTTCATTTTTTAAAAAAAAATTAATTCATGCATGCATTGATAGTATATATAAAGTACTAATGTTTTTTAATTTTTCATAATTTTTTTTGTAACAAAAATGGAATTGGTCCATTGGTGTCAACGAGGAGGTCAAATCTGGGTTCTACAAAAAGGCGATGCAGCGCCTCAAGAACATTGTTGGAGATTGAAAGGACGACTGGAGGCTAAGACAGGATGACGCAAAACCAACCTACCTCAGTAATGACGTTTGGGTTGGTTTGGTGGCTTTTTGGATGAAGCCTGAGTCAAGGGCGAAGTCTACCAAGTACTCTGCGGTCCGGTTGACCAAGGATGCTCAAGGTAACCCGCCAATTCCTCATACTTCCGGGCAGACTCCACATGCTGGGAGGGCACTTGAAATTGGAAGTGTTTGAATATTCTTGATTTTATTATTTTTTTTTTTAATGCAAATATTAATTTTTTTTTTATATAGGCCGCCAAAGAAGGAGCGCCACCATCTCTTGCTCGACTATACAAGATTACCCACCAGCGTTCTGATGGGACTTTCGTGAATCCTCAAGCAGAGAAAATCTACAATGAGGTAGAGGCTCAGATCAAAGAGGTCCAGACTCAGATGTCGCAACAAAATCCGGATGGTCCACCGGTCCAACTTTCAACCATCGACCAAGACAAGATTTTCGAGCAGGTAAATTAGTTTATTTTTAACTTTATTAACAATTTAAATTTTTTATTAAATTTTCACATTTTTACTTAATTATATAAATATAATTAGTAAATAAAATTTGATCTTTTGTAGGTTGCTCCGAAGAAAAGGGGACGTATTGTTGGGATCGGGACTGTGAACGATGTCCCGAGGGCGAGGGCCGAATATGCAGCAAGAATAGAAGAAGATTCCTCTCTCCGACGGGAACTAGCAGCTGCCAACAAAGTCATAGACGAGCATAAAGACAAGTTCAAGGCTATGGCGAATATGTTCGATCTTATGATGGAGACCTCGAACCCAAACCCGACGGTTGCAAATGCATGGCAAGCTCTACGTCCGAGCTTTAACCCCGACCCCACTCCGGANGCGAATATGTTCGATCTTATGATGGAGACCTCGAACCCAAACCCGACGGTTGCAAATGCATGGCAAGCTCTACGTCCGAGCTTTAACCCCGACCCCACTCCGGAAGAGCAAGTGGATATTGATCGACGTGCGGAGCAGCACACTTCCGAGTTCTTCCAAGACATGAACCTCAACAAAACACCTTAGTTTTTCGGTTTTTGTATGAATAGTTTATATATTATTTTAATCAAATATAATTTTATATATATTTTTAAAATTTATTAATTAAAAAAACGAATTAAAAAATCAAATAAAAAATAAAAAATAAAAAATAAAAAAAAATCAAATAAGAGATTTTATTTAAAAATAAAATCAACATTAGTCGTAAATTAGATTTTAATTTATGACTAATGGACAACAACAGTCGAAGTTACTTAGTCGTAACATTACGACTAAGTAACTACCAATATTTACGTTTGCTTTACGATTACAACTATTACGACTCATTAACTACTAATTATATTACGTCGAATTAACTACGAAAGGTTTTACGACTACGTTACGACTACATATGTCACGTCAATATTACGACTAATGCTTTAGTCGTAATATTACGACTAGGTTACGACTACGTCTTGTGGACGTAATATTACGACTACTTTACGACTAATTGTGCATTACGAATAGCGAATAACGACCAATGGGTTTTCGATGTTAATTGGTCGTAAAAAGCATATTACGACCAATTAACAACCAATACTGTAGTCGTTAGACACCTGTTTTCTTGTAGTGCGTTACCAATCCCACATATCGTGTGATTTAAGAAGTTGCAGATATAAAATATAGGAATAAAAGATAGCGTACATATTCTCTGGTTTCTATATTTTAAAAATTGAGTAAATAGTGTTATATTCTTGGGGCTTTTATATTCTTTGGAGCCATGAATATAGGTAGACAATATAATCTTCAGTTTCTGTAACGTAAAAGAATATACTCTAAAAATAGGTTTGTTAGTTTTTTTTGTTTGGAAAATAAAGGATTCAAAATATGAATGAAATGTCGGACAGAAAAATTTAGACGGTTGGATTAATAAATTTTTGTCAATTTATTAAAATCGGGTCAAAATCACTTTAACCGGGTAAAACCACTTTAATACAAAACTTAGATTAAAAAATAATGTAGTGGCATTCGGCTGTAATTACTGTTAAAACAAAATGACACTTTAAAAAAGTGACTTCTGTTTTAATAGTATCGATGCGTATTACACACGTGTCCATTCTAGGTCTGAAAAAACAAGAAGTGAGTCGTCCCGACTTAACCATTGCAACTCCACTGTGCATCATTGTGAAGTAACAAAATCAATGAACCTCAACTTTGAAACTCCTCAATTCACCAAAGAAGCTCCTCACGTCTAAATCACCACCGGTCCTTCTCTGAGACATGGCCTTATGCACTCTCTCCGCTGTTTGAAGTTTTTATTGAGAATATAAGGAACTCACAGCCAGGAAGGGAGATATTATAAGTAGAGGAAAGATGATTGAACTGCCGTTGTTGGACCTTAGGTAGGCAAGATAGTATTATTGTTTTGCATCTATATCATAAAATCAACATATGACCAAGTAAGCATTGAAACCAAAACTCTCTACAGTGTAGACTTCTAGGCCAAGAATTCACGAAGGGACTTGACTAATGAAGATAAGTAACACACTAACATACCATTTTATTGTTTTTAACAGCTTTCGGTGTGATAGGTCTTTGACTATTATATGGAAAAAAAACCCTGCATCTCGAGATATTGTAGGGGATGGATTTGATCCTGCCCTCAAGGCTCATCGAATAAAAGCTACGGCCTATTACTCGGCCCAAGTAGCCAAGGAAGATCCGCGTCCGTACAATAACAAGGGATTCGGAAACCGAGGACACATCATCGTCCGTACCGAGGAAGAAAATCCGGCTCGAGGCCCACGTGGGGAGGAACGCGGCCCATTAGGATTTTCCGTACAGCGACCTATAAAAGCGAAGAGATACCAGACTTAAGGGGGATCAAAAAATACACTGACTAGGCGGCAGCTAAAACTAGGGTGTTACTCACTTTGTTCTTCTTAGATCGGTCCGTACAACTCCGGTAGCTCCCGAGCACCGCAGTCCTCCTTGTAACCTCCGTTTAATCGATCAATAAAACTCTTCTTTCTCTATTTGTTCATTCACACCTTCAAAATAACCCACCGACGAGTTTCCGTCGATCATTTACTTGTTATCACCAAACTCGGTTCAAACAGTTGGCGCCCACCGTGGGGCATAACGAAGTAGTGTGACGAACATGGCAAACGAAGAGGACTCTTCCGGTAACCAACCAGAAGAAACCCCGGTCGCTCCGACTATCGAAAGTCTCATGGACTCCGTCATGGTCCATCTCGCTCAGCAAGACGAAACCCAGAAGGAGACAAACGCTCAGCTCGCGGCCTCCGTCGCCATCCTCTCGCCCCCTAACGGTGCAGTCAGAGATATCGCGTCAGCCCGGCGGTTTCTCTTCAACACCAACCCTATGCTGACTCCGGCCAACCAGACCCGAAGGACCTTTGGCGGAAGATTCTGCACACCCGGTTGACGGCTCGGATCCCCAAACTGCGCAGGAAATAGCTGAGCTCAAATTTTCGCTCCGGACCATAACTTCTCAGATCCACCACGCTATGAGTGCTGCACCTCAAATTGACCGCGCTTCGCCGAGCCATTACACACCCCTTTCACAGCATGAATCAGTAGCGTCAAGATTCGCTTGACTGAAAAACTCCGACTACCGACCTATGCCGGCGAGAGTGACCCGACGGATCACGCGACCGCTTTTAACATCATGATGGGTAGGTCGCGGTTCTCGGACGAAGAAAGAGATGCCGGTCTTTATGAGCTCTTCGTCGAGAGTCTAATCGGACCGGCCTTGACATGGTTTTCCGGACTAACCGAGAATTCCATCGACAGTTTCCATGATCTGTCCTCTGCTTTCTTAAAGCACTACATCATGTTCACTCATCAGGGAGCACAGTCTCCGACCTCTGGAAGATGTCGCAAACTTTCGGACAGAGCAGTTCATGGGAAAATTCAAAGCTCTCCAGAACGCACTATACGTTCATTCCCCGTTCCGGAAAGACCTTTACCAAAGCCCGACTACCTCGCTGGAAGACGCAATTGCTTGCTGTCACAACTTCATCCGCATGGAGGAAGATACTCAGGCAATACTAAACAAGCGAAACTCGGATAAATTGGACACGACTAAAACTCATGACTCTCGGGATGCACGTCGAGAACCTCGACAACACTCTACAAGAGATCGCACCGATCGGAAGAAGAGATAAATTTATCACGTCGACGGAGACGATTCTCCCCTACTACCGTCGTAGTTCGGGGAAAAGGCTGGAACCATTACTACTGCGAAGATGATGGCGCGAAGTCACCATCTGGCTCTAGATCCCCGCGTAAAAACGAGGCGGACAAGTTCTGCAAGTATCATAACATCAAGAGTCATGACACCAAGGAGTGCAGACACCTCGGTGAGTACCTCATCGGAAAGTACGCAGCCGGACAGATCGGCGCCGAGCCCCCAAAGCCGAGGACCAACACCAGCAAAAGTTGGAGCAAAAACAAGGACAAAAAGTCCAAACAAACGAAGGATAAGCCTCGTCGAGAGGGAGAAGCTCGTCCCGACACGCCCGACGACGAACATACTGTAGGTCGACCCCGAGATGAACATGCCGCAGATGAGGAGCAACCCAAAAATAGGAAACGGATCCAGGTCATCCTCTCTCAAAGAGAAGCATCTTCAGATGATGACGCTGGACCTGTCAATCTCCGAGCACACCTCAACTCTCGCCGCAAAGAGACGCACTCTGCCGATCTTCGGGACACACTAAACTCAAGGAAAGCGCGAAGGCAGGGTAACTCCAGCATCGCCTCGGTCGTAACTCCTCGGTGTGGACAGGTTGACCTACGGCATCATTTCAAGTCCAACAC